TCCAAATCACTTACATGGTTCAAGTCAAAATATGTAAAAAATTATTTCCAGAGAAGTCTCACTCCTACTCCTTTTACTTTTTCCTCTCTAGGTAACCACTTTCATTATTTTCTGATTTATCTTTTTTTAAAAAACTAAGTGAAAAAAATACACAACTATATTTTATTTCATCACCTTTTCTGACCAAAAAGGTAGCATGCTAGGTATACTTTTTTTGCACCTTGCCTTCTACTTAAGAGCATATCATAAAATCACTATCACTCCATATAGATCGTCTTCACTCTTTTTATGGCTGCATAGTACTTCTTCATGAATGTGTATCTTAGTTGATTGAACCAGTCTTCCATAATGGGCATTTAAGTTGCTTCCAAAAGTTTATTACCACAAATAATGCTACAGTGAATAACCTTGTGAATATGCTGCTCTGATTTGCAGGATGTGTGTTCTCAGGGTAAATTCCTAGAAGTGATGTCATGAGGTCAAAGATAAATGCCTATGTAACTGTGTCATCTACTGCCAAATTTTCTTCTACATTGTTGTCTATTTTGTCTTGCTACCAGTAATAAATAAGAGTGTTTTCCTAGTCTTGCTTGTACCATGTGCTGTAAGTTTTTGAATTTTTGCCAAAATAGGTGAGAAATGGTAAGTCACAGTAATTTAATTTCCATTTCCCATATAATGAATAAAGTTAAGCATTGTTTCTTATGCTCAAGGGCCATTTGTTTCACCTGATTTTAAAAACCTATATTTTTCTCCTTGATTTCCTGGCTGTAGTTATCTTTGGTCAGGTAACTATGTACCTGTTATTTACTACCTGGATTTTTGAAATAGTCTTCTAGCTGGTTACTCTGCCTACAGCCTTTCTCCTTTCAGTGGTTCTGAACCCAGTTAACGTAGTTACCAAATTAATGTTATTAAAACACCTCTTTAAAACACTTTCTTTTTAAAGGAACCGTCAGTTATTTCCTAGCCACAGAACACTTTTAAACTTATTAATCCAGAATTCAAGGTATGATTTTCAGCCATTTCTCCTAACTTCTCTTTGCCTATTCCCTTATATTTACTTACTAGAGACCCAGTGCACAAAATTCATGCACTCAATGGGGTAGGGGGGTCCCCCAGCCTGGCCTGTGCCCTCTCATAGTGCGGGAGCCCCACGATCGATCATCCCAATGGGATCGATCATCCCAAAGAGGTAGGCCCTGTCCACCCAATGAGGTTTGGGGCTCATTGATGGATTGCCCCAAAGAGGTAGGCCAGAGTCGCAGGACCCCCGGCCTTGCCATGCGGAGCCGCGGGACCCGCCGCTGTGCCTCGCATGCAACATCAAGCCCCCGCCCACCCATGTGCGCCTCACCACGCACGCATCCCTGCCCACCTGCATGCGCCCGCTGTGCACGCAGCCTCCTGGTGATCGCTCATTATGGCGTGAGGGCATCACGATCACATAGGCTTTTATTATATAGGATTCCTTCTGCAAAACTGGTACATTTAGTGTCCTAAAATCCATGACAGAAATTCTTTCCTCCAAACCTTTTTCCTGCTAGAGTTCAGGTCTGAAGCCCCTCCGTAGTGCAGCCCTGCCCTTCATCTGTCTAAATTGCAGGGATGCTCCCAGGCTTATCTCAAGAACCATCTTCTGGGCGCTTTCCTTGACCACTTTGTGCCCAAGGGCTCTCTCCTTTCGAAATTCTGCTGGTACCAATCTTTGTCCCCTTATTTAGCACTTAATTTTATGGCCTTTTTCTTTTTCTTTCTTTTTTTTTTTTTGCAATTACTTAAAATTTAAAATGTGTGTATATTTTTCCCCAAGAGTAGGGTCTATAGGTATTTTATTGAGCAAATGCTAATAAATTTTCATCACCTGCTTCTGAGCCAAGATAAGGGCACATTAGCCTCTATTTTATTGACAAGATAATAAAGTAGAGAGATTATACCATTTGATTAAATCATCATTGAGTCATTGGTCATGTGAGCATGGGTCCCAAGTCTCAGGTTATAGTCAAATGTCATACTTATTACCACATTCCCTAAATTAAAAGAAAAAAAGGATGCCTTAAAATATTAAGTAAAAATGATTCCATTTATCCTTTCTATTAATTAACATACATAATTTATCTTAGTTAAAATTTCCATCTAAGATACTGATTAGAAAGACAAAGGATTTGGCATCAAATCCTCTTGGGACAAAATGGTGTTAATACAAAATGCTATTTGTTTTCAGCCTGACAAAATGCTCATAAACACATTTGATTAGAGAAAACATCATATCTAAATCCTTGTGTATTCTAAGCCATGCATTTCTGCTTTCAACTCAATAAACATTTACACATTTATTGTGCATTTATTATATCATAGGTATGCTACTAGTTCTTGTGGGAACAGAATGTATAAGTTAAAGAGCATGTTCTCAGGTAGTTGTGTTTTTTTTTAATCCTCACTCAAGGATATTTTTTCCATTGATTTTTAGAGAGAGTGGGAGGGGGGGGGGGGGGGGGGGGGAGAGAGAGGTGAGAGAGACACGTCAATTGGTTGCCTTCCACATGCGCCCTGATGGGGGCCAGGATCAAACCTGCAATCCAGGTACATGCCCTTGACCAGGAATCGGACCCAAGGTGCTTCGTGCCAGTGCTCTAAGCACTGAGCTGCACCAGCGAGGGCGTTCTCAGGTAATGTCTTGGAAGAAACTACCTATGTGTACATACCAAATATTACTGTAAAGAGTATTACTATTGGCCTACAAACAAAGAAAAGAGAACTCTACTGGAGAGATCAACAAAGGCTTCAGAAATAAGATGATAGTTAAGTTTAGCCAAGGCAACCCAAAAATCCATAAGGCCCAATATATACATTACAAAGTAAGAGAAGTTTTAGAGTATAAAATGAGAAATTAGCAGTTTTTAAAGTGTTCCAGTCATCTCTTCTGTAATCCCCCTGCATTTTGTACTTCTTTCTATTCTGGCAGGTTGCCTTGCAAAGGGTTTGGCTCCAGGTGTGTCACTGTGATAGCCAGAGAGGACCTTACAGCAGGATCACAGCCACATCGACTTGGAAATCCCAGTGCAGGCACAATTGAAATTTTAGAAAGGAATGAATGAACTAAATATTTTAAGAGCACTTTGTGAAGTCAGTAGAACTTTCTAATTTTTACAAGTTGATTATTTTGGGTTTTGAGCCCCCAGATGGCTAATGTGTGCTATAGAATTCGTTATCCAGTGGCTACGCTTTGGTCTCATCTTTAGCTGGGTCTGCTAAGGGTAGGGTTGGCACAGTGCAGATCCCCAGTGATCATGGTTGCTACTGCTCCCACCTCTGTGCCAAGATCCTCACTGATCCTGAATGGGTCCACACATAGAGTCAAAATCACAAAAAAAATCCATGTTTGAAAAATTTGACAGGCGCACATGCAGCTTATTGGGTGTGCGCGGGTGCGTGCATGCGTGCACACACACCCCTTTTATGATGCACAGAGATGCTAGCAAAGGACACATAACACACAGTAGCAAAGGTGCAAAAGAGGCCACAAAAATTAGCTGGGATGTGAAACCTAATGTGCAAATATGGTCTGAAATGGGAAAAAGGATAATCAGTATAGTTGAAACATTTATCCTTGCTCCCTGCAAGAACAATCACCTCTTATTACCTCACAAGAGACACTAGAATTTGCTTATCTTTTTAATTTTCGTACTTTTATTACTGAATTTTAGGTCTAATTTTGCTTCCAGGAAAATTAGCATTTCAGCCTTAACTCTGATCTAAATGTTACCCCCTTCTTAATTGTAACTCCATTATTATTTTTTATTTTCCAGTAATATATGCCCCATTTCATAGTGAAAGACAATGGGAGAATGGTATTCAAGTTCCTAAAACTTCTATTTTGTAGTTACAGATATTACAGAAAATACATCATTTCCATTTAAGTCAGAGAGAATTGACGAGAGCCATCAGGTAAATTATAATTCATGTGTAATATTTAAGAATTAAGGAAACCCATTAGAGAAAGTCAGTCAGAAGCCCACTTAATGCTGGCACAGTCTGACCCCTTGCAACTTCACGAGTGCTTCATGAAGCATTGGCTTCACTGGGCAGCTTATTAGAAATGCATATTCTAGGGCCCTACTTAGACCCATGAATCAGAATTTTCATTTTAACAAATTTCTCACAGTATTTTGTGTGCACATTAAAGTTTTAGAAGCATGATTCAATCACAGGGTTATCATGGAAACTCCATGAAGAGAAGTTATTCCATCAATCTTTAATTTTGGTTGAGTTTTCTTTTAAAGATCCACAGACCCAAATGCTTATTAGTTTCAATATCTTGCCTAAATTTACATCATGATACATTCCTGGAGTTTAATGGCATCCCTGCTTTTCATTATGCATCCAATCCAATGGTGCTCTGTGGTACAGACTGTCCCTACCTCTCTGTCCACAGGAGAACCAGGTGTGCATGGGGAGAATAGAGGAGCCAGTGAGGGGAATTAGAGAATTATGTGGAAGACTGACAAGTGCTTTTAATTGTATGATGGGGATTTCAGCTCACTATCACTACATTGCTTTTTCTTAAAGGATTATCTTAGGCTTAAAGTCATTTTTGCAAAGCAACACCCTCTAAACTCCCAACAGGCTTCTGTGTTTCGCATACCAAGTGAGTGATTAGGCATATAACTTTGCTTGATTTTATTTCTCTCCCATCATTTTTCATTTTCAAATTAGCGATCTTGAGAAGCTAAGGAGAGGCTAGGTCCCAGGAACCTAGAAACATGGTTGCTATAGGTATCTCCTGCCACCTAGCTAACAACCAGAGGAAAAGATACCTGTCCTTTCCTAGACTTGAGTTTCAAGAAGACAAGTGACCTATCCCTTGCATGGGAGTGAGCCCACTCAGTGGATATTGATGATGGCAACAATGGCAAGAGTCTCTGCTGAAGGAATGACAGGGTGTGCGGAAAAGGACACAACTATTTCAGCTCTAGAATCAACAAAGGAAGATGACATACCCAAGCTGCATCCCAAACATCCTTCTTCGCAAGGCACACATTCTCCAAGGTCTGGGTCTTGGACTTCCCCTATACAGTGAGAAGAGTGAAAAACAATTCATTTTTACTGAGTGGAGACACATCGGTTGCTATGAAAGTAATGTTGGTGTGTAGCTTATTTTCAAGCAAGTAATAGAGCAATTATGAAACCTAAAACCATCTTTAAGGATCTATGTGTCACCCACAATTTTATCTCTTTCATTAATTTACTTGATTAGATCACCTTGATTGGGTACAGATAGAACAGAGTGGGACTATAAGCCACGCAACTTGTATTGAAATTAAGCTGGTAGATTTTATTTGCTAAAGAAATAAGTTCTTCTGGGAGTATGGAATTGGGCATATAAATAAACAGGCTCTCTCTTTCTCTCTGTTTATAATCCTCACCTGAGGATATGGTTTTATTGAGAGAGAGGGAGAAAGAGAAAGGAGGAGGAGGGGGGAGGGGAAGGGGAGGAGAGAGAGAGAGAGAGAGAGAGAGAGGGAGAGAGAGGGAGAAGAGAGAGAGAGAAAGAAACATTGATGTGAGAGAGAAATATTGATGGGTTGCCTTCCGTACATGCCCTGAATGGAGATTGAACCTGAAACCTAGGTATGTGCCCTGACCGGGAATCAAACCCACAGTCTTTTGGGGAATGAGATGTTGCTTCAACCTCCTGAGCAATCTGGCCAGGGTGAGGCTCTATCTCTTTTTATCTTGTCTAGAAATATCTTGGAGCTCTCTCTCTTCAGCATCAGATTAGGCATAATTCTTATACAGAGCAGAGAAAGTTTGCAGTATTCTTACGTGGAAAAGTACTGTTTTTAACATACCCCTCTTCTTATGTAAGATAAGGAATTGGTCAATAATTATAACTTACGATTCACAGAACATTTTAATATTTTCAAGTAGTTTTAGGTAGGATGGCTCTCTTTGGCTTCTCACAGCAACCATCTTGGTGCTATGCTCTCCCTTTTACAAATGAAGAAACCAAGCAACAGAATGCAAACAAATTTTGCCCAGAATCTCATAACTAGTAATTGAGAAGGAGAGAATTGTTGGCCATGACTTCCAGACTCTCATCTAATTTTCTCTCCCCAATACCCCGCCCATGAACCCTCCACTCAAGATCAATTTCTATGTGACTAGTGCCATCATTATGGATTATGTCTGGGGAAACCCAGAGAAAAAATGTGTAGGGGAAGAGAGAAGGGCAGCAATCACTGTTCCCATTTGATGTATAGTCATGCAGAGTCATCCCAGGCACTGACAGTAAACCCAGAAGACAATTCAAGAGTGTGGGACACGTAGGGGTACAGTTCCTCCTGCCACCTCCTGGGGCAGGGCAGTGGCCCCAAAGCAGCCTTACCTGGTCCGCACTCTAACTTCTGGCAGGTGTGGTTGGTGGACGCCATGAAGTAGCCATTTGTGCATCGCGTGCAGAAGTCTGCGCTGTGGCAAAGCTCACAGTTATCTGGGCAGGGGAGGCAGACGTGCTCCTCTGCAGGGTAGTGCCCCGCTGGGCAGCTCTCATGACACTCCCCCCGGTACAGGAAGCGCTCCTGGCCTTGCTTATCTGAAGAGAGAGAGAAGCAACAACAACAACAACAAAAGGGAAAATGTACACAATTAACCATAAAATGAATACAACTAAGATATTTTATTAAAAAAAATATGACTGAGTGCTTAGACTCCCAGGGGGCCAGAAGTTTAAGAATGGATTTAATAAAAAGTGCAATGGCTGTACTTGTGATTGAAAATTTTTCCTTGGGCTCCTTTCAGGGTCTGTAGAAGCCCACAGACTTGAAGGCTAGAGATCCCAAGAGAATAAACAAATGCTTACATGTTTTTTTATGACAGTGCAGTCTTTTAGAATGATTTTGAATTCTGTTATCAAAATCACATGCTTGTGTTAGCTGTCTGAATTCCTGTGCGGCTGCCAGTTCCTACAGTGGCAGCCATTCAACACTAGACTAAGCACACCTATGACGCCTTCATGTGCATCCCTGAATGTTCCTGAACTCTGCCAGACTGGACTCTGCCAGGAAAGGATCAGCAGTATCCTCAGCGTGAGACTGGGAATTTACTCCTAGGTGAAATGGAAACTTCTAATGAGTGACAAACAATTGCAGTTTATAAAAAGGATTATCAATATATTTAAAAAGATATCTCTCTATCTCTATCTCTATCTCTATCTCCTCTATCTCTATCTATCTCTCTATCTTTCTCTCTCTCTATCTCTATCTCTATATATCTTCTACCCTCACCCTCCTGGAGTTTTAGTTTGTGCTGAGTGTGTTTGGGGTATCATCTTCTCTGAACCAGTTCTCCTATATGTTCCAGCTTCTGAAGAATAGCTGATCTGCTGGGGTCTGCTGTTCGCTAATCATGTAATCTACCACGTGAAGATCCAGAACCACGGGCCTTCAAAGTGCAACTTGTCAAATTTGTGGGTAGAGACAGCACGGACCCCATGTTAGTAGAATGTTAGGTTGAACCACATGAGAGTGCCAACATTCAACTTTTTTTAAACCTGTAAACTTTCTTAAACCATTCTCAAATGGTTTAACCTAATGTTTCCTATTTAATTGTTCAAATATAATAAAAAACACAATCTTGGATTATAGGCTCTGAAGCCACCTCTGTTCTGGTGGTAATTTCATGCCAGAGTCTGTTGGTTTTTGTGGGAACAAAGAAAATAAAGAGGGCTTCCATGTAAGTGGTGGAGTAGAGTGTCTGCTCTCTTCATGTGTGACAGGAGAGTGTTTGGGAGGATGTAATGTGCACGTGGTGATGCTGCCACTATGGACCAGTGTTGTGGAGCATAAAACCTTGATCTGGTAGAACCTGAATCTCAGGAGACCACACAAGGGTTAACCTTCCAAATTATGTTCTCAGACACATTATGAAAGCCTAGCAAACTCCAATTTCCATGGCTCATTCAGAGATGATCCTATTTCCCCATATGACTGAAATCATATGGTTCAGCTTTTTCTGACTGGCTTATTTCACTTAGAATAATATTGCCAAGGTCCATCCATGTTGTTGCAAATGGCAGTATTTCGTCCTTTCTTATGGCTGAGTAGTAGTCTATTGTGTGTATGTAAAAGTGAAACTTGTGAACACAAACAGTGGTGTGGTGGTTGCCAGAGGGAAGGGGGTAGGGGGATGAAGGGGATCCTAATATATGGTGACAGGAGAAGATTTGACTTTGGGTGGTGGGCACACAGTGCAATATACAGATCTTGTAACATAGAAACCCACACCTGAAACCTATCCTATATAATAAAAGGCTAATATGCAAATTATCCCCTCGACTGGGAGTTCGACCAGGGGGCAGGGCCGGCCAGCCAACTGCCTGTGGCCCCTCTTTCCGACTGGCCCTGCCCCTGATCGCCACCTCCCCACCTCCATCAGGGGTGGGGCTACCAGTCAACTGCCTGCAGCCCCTCCCCCAGCCAGCCCCGCCCCCAATTGGGCCCCCCTACCCTGATCAGGGCGGGCCGGCCGGACCCCACCCGTGCATGAATTCATGCATCAGGCCTCTAGTATGACCATATTAACCAATGTCACCTCAATAAAATTAATTAAAAAATGGAAAAAAAGAAAAGATCTTGTTTTTAAGAGGGCCAAACTTCTCAGATATAGGTAGGAAGAGCTGTGGGAGAGCAGTGGTAAGCCTACTCTCTTTCTGATCCACAGTTTTACATTCTCTACACTTTCACTTGACATCAACTCAGGATCCAGAGGCTTGGGGGCATTTAAGTTCATATTTACTGAATGATTGAATGAGTAAGTGAATTAATATTTAGCAGTTTTCCTATTTTCCCAACATTCCAAATGGATCTTAAAATACACAATGGTAATGGGTTTAGATATTAGAGAAAATGCTTTCCAATCCCATTTTTATTGTTTAGACATGGCTTTATTATCTCTACAGCTTTGGATATTATCATTGGATTTAAAGGACAGAAATTTGAAGGATCTTGGTATTTTAAATATACAGACCCTGCAAAAGGAGGTCACTTAGATGCCTTGTCCATGGCCAGCTTTCCCCATAGGCTTGGTACAAGAGTATGCCAGGATTTGGTCATTTTCTAATAGCCTGAGTATTATGGCAGCTCACTTAGTTGGGTCTGATAGTTTGGATACCCCATCGATTTAAATCCTGTGCATAAATCTGAAAGGGATTTTAGATGCCATCTTATCTGTGCTTCTCTTTTTTTCAAACAAGGAGAGACTTAAAGAGGTGAAGTGAAGAACTAGAACCCAGGATTTCTGACTGCTGGTATTGATGTTCTTTCTACTGATTCATTCATTCATTCATTCATTCAGTTTTCTTTTGTGCCTTCCATATGCCAGATACTGTGCTAGTGCTCAAAATACAACAGAAAACAGGCAAAACCATTCACTGCTTTTACAAGGCATAGCCTTATGGATAAGATAGGTATCAAGTGAGAGGTGGCTTGTAATGTGAGAAGTGCAGGATTCCAAGGATCCTCCTATGAGGGGGACTTAACCTAGACAAGGGGGGTAGAACAACCCATACTGAGGAAATGCCATTGCAACTGAGCTCTAACGGATGAATGAATAGAAAGAGGTCAGGCAGACAGTGAGTGGGGAACAGCTCAAGTGAAGTCTTTGAACAGCTAGAGAAATCAAATGCCCATAGGGATAAGGAAGTATAAACAATAACAGTATTAATAACAATAAGTTAATATTTACTGAGTGCTTCTTATATGCCCAGCCCTGTTCTAAGTGGTTTATTACTCTATCTCACTAAGTCTTATTTCATTTTCAGAATAATCCTAAGAGGGGCAACCATGATCACTATGTTATAAATAAGGAAGGAAACAGAACAAGCAGGCTGGAGATAAAATTTGACGTAGATATAGTACTTTGTTTACATAAAAACTCACAAATAATTAAAATTAAAATTATGCAAATAAATGTGTTACTTCCTATTTTTCCACAAAAGCATGATACTATCAATTTGTGCTTATTTTTCTCAATTTTATTATAAGCAAGAATAAAGATAAATAATCCTCTTTCCCCAGAAATGCCATGTAAGTATGCTGATGGTGATAACTGACAGACTCAGAATCAGCGAGAAACTGGGAGTGGTGGGAATTGTGGAGAAATACTCTCAGGCCAACCATTTGGGGAATGTGGACCCAGTGTCGCTAGATCTTCCAAGTTTTTAAGCGCAACAAAAAACCCAGATTTTTCTTTGAAATGTCCCAATTTTAAAATTAAGGTAAGCTCTAACTGGTTTGGCTCAGTGGATAGAGCGTCAGCCTATGGACTGAAGGGTCCCAGGTTCAGTTCCAGTCAAGGGCATGTACCTTGGTTGCAGGCACATCCCCAGAAGGGGGTGTGCAGGAGGCAGCTGATCAATCTTAATCTCTCATTGATGTTTCTAACTCTCTATTCCTCTCCCTTCCTCTCTGTAAAAAAATCAATTAAATATATTTTTAAAAATAAAATAAAAATTAAGGTAAAATATGAATCTGTCCCACCTGAGGTCAAAGTAGGGGTCAAATGTCAGAGGACCTTTAACATCGCGGAATATAATTCAGCGACAGCATAAACTTTGAGTCATTAAAACGGACAGGGAAGGTCATATTTGTGTTTTGCCGTGGTTACTTTGTTCCCACAGGGCGGTGACAGCTTCTAAGTGGCATAGCTCTTGGCTGAAGAGAACTTGACACAACCTCTATTACAATATTTCTCTGAAAAGACTGAATGTGTCTGCCTTAATTTCCTAGCTTTTCACTTTTACCTCTACAAACCTTAGCTTAACTGTCTCTCTCATGGCTGATGTCATGTTCTCATGCCCTTTCTTTCTCCTTCTCTGGAAAGACATCTCGTAGCTTCTCTCTCATTTCAGGGGCAGCGAGTCTCCAACAATGTAAACTTGTATCCTGACAGCAAGCAGCAACTTCAAGGTTGTACACATTCTCTAACGAACAGCTGCCTAACCTCAACCCCTTCACCCCACGGATGAAGCTTCTGAGTCAAACCAGACAGTGTCCCTGGGAGAACAGGTTTGAAGCAACGAAGAACAAATGACCAAACAGACTCCCTCACCTACTCCACAGGAGGTGCAGTTGGAAGGCTCGTTTCCCTGGCATTCTTGGCAAGTGTAGTGGCATAGATGGCATTGGTTCTTCAATGCAAATTTTCCTGAGGGACAGTCCAAAACGCAGCGGCCATCATCCAAAACCCTAGAGGAAGAGCAGACTTTCAGAGTTTGTAAGGGTGACTTTCTGGAATAGCCTTCAGTTTTAGAACATGTGGTGTTCATGTTTCACCGCACAAACTTGGTTTCATTGTTCCAGACACAAGGGGGATGCCTGGGACTGATCATCTTAGACCATGTGGAATATTAATCATGTACCCATCCTTGCTTGGCTTGAGGGTTGGACTCCACAGCAGCCGTGCCAGAAACTGGCTGGCGATGCAGTCCTGATCTGGGTTGCAAATAAGTTAACCAGTGCCCGCAGGGATTAAACCCATATTGTAGGCCCCAGACAATCCCAGCCCACAGTTAGAGGATGGTCTTGGAATTTTCAAGACACTAAATGGTACTTTGAATACAGAGACCTTGGAGAAAAAATCCTTCCTTTAGATATGAGCATGCTCACACTTTGCAAGGCAGATGTCAGCTCTAAGGGCTCCTAGACGATAGAGGGAAGCACTGTCCTGGGTTTAGGTGTTACTTATAAACTTGGCCTATGCTTATGGCAAGTATGTGTGTCTTTTCTACAAGCGTTTCCTGAAGCATAGGGTACCATATCTTTATTTTCTGATCATGTTTTCAGTCCCCTATAAGGGCATTGGAAATAAGTAAGCAGCTGAGCTTCTAAAACCTTTGGTTTTATACACCTACTAGAGGCCTGGTGCACGAATTCGTGCACAGGTGGGGTCATCCCCCCCCGGCTGGAGACCAGGACCAATAGGGGCCGTCTGGCTGGGGGCAGGGATGGCAGGAGGTTGGCTTTGGGACACACTGATCACCGGGGAGCAGCTCCTGCGTTGAGCGCCTGCCCCCTGGTGGCCAGTGTGTGTCATAGCGACCGGTCGTTCGGTCATAACGGTCGCTTAGGCTTTTATATATATATATATGTCATGGCTAATATTTCCATAGTTTTGCTTCTGTTTTACCCTTGCACAGTAATCCCAAAATTGTATGTAGTTAAGTGAATTGTATTCAAAATGTGTCCCAAGTGCAAGACTCAGATAGCTAATGTGAATAGATGTGGTGAGCTGGGGAGGGGGTGGGGCGGCCCAACCCCCTGAGTTTCTAATTCATTAGGTCCAGCATGAAGAGAGCTGAGAAATTGTATTTTTGACCAGTTCCTGGGTAACATTCACGTTCTGGTCTAGAGAACACACTTTGAGAATTGCTGCTCCACCTTCTGCTCACTGATAGTCTGAATGGATTACTATGGAGTTTGCTAAATGACTCCTACCTAATACAGGTGGTACCAAATTGGTGTCTTGTAGAGTGTCTTTAGAGTAGCATCCAATGTATCAGTTGGATGATTAACTGAGCATGTAGTACATACATGTCCCCAAGGGCACAATGCTGGCATCCAAGTCTCGGGAAACTAAGGGCCTGCAAAAAAGGCAGAGTTGCCTTTTCTCTCCACCACCTCTCTCCACTCAGACTGGATGCATGTGGAAGGCCAGGTGTAGGCCTCATGCTATTTGTTCCTGGGTTGGCACTGGCCCTATTTCCATAGGCAGAGCCAGCCCTAAACTGAGATAGGAATTTGAATTCCAGTCTTGGAAATTGGGGTGGGGCAAGGCATGCTGAATAGTGTGTTACTTGCAGCCTTCCATCTTGTTCCTACTCCCTGTGTCCTTTGCATCTGTTTGGAAACGGAATAGGATTAAAGCCCACAGCATAAAACAGAAGGCTGCCTCACTCCCCGTACTCCCCTCCCCCCGCCTGGTCCCACCCAGGTTTTGGTCACCCTACCCAGCACCACTGGTGTGAACAGTTCTTTTGGCTCCCACTGCGGTGTGTGGAGTCCAGCCCTAAACAGACCCGCACACATACTAGTATCTGGGTGTCCGTGTCAAATCCTCTGCACCATGGCGTATAATGAGAGGACTGTTCTCAGCCCAGATTTTTAGCAGATGGCACTAATGCCAACTTGGAATATCCCAGCCTCACCCTGCCTCTGCTTTCTGAGCTAGAAGATTTTTCAAGGGATAATTTGGATGTGGCTAGTTAAAAAACAAAACAAAACAAAAAACCTCCCTTTAAGAAAAACTAAGCAAGGAGCCTTCTGAGGTTTTTGAACAAGGAAGCCACTCAACACTCTGCCAAAAGGAGAATGGGGTGTGTTTATTTGCGAGGGTTCATTTTCTTGCTAAAAGAAGAGGGGATGGAAAGTTATCACCATTTTGTCCTTTGTAGAAAGATATGACAGATTGGTTTAGGGAGAAGTTATTTCTCTTGAGAGGGGCAACTAATACTGTTAATGCTGGGAACCATTTAAAATCACCCAGAAACTGGGGTGGGGGTGAAACAGATGGTGTAATATTTTTTATTTGGGTATTGGGCTGCCTTTCTCACTTGAGTCCTTAATTTTAAGAAAGAACTAAGCACATAATGGTGCTTTAAATTACCTCCTTCCCTTCTCCCCTCAGGAAAGCACAAGTGACCTACCCAGTTTTTGTGAGAACATGCTTCTTTCTAAAGATGGGAATATAGAGAAAACAGTCATGCCTAAGTGCCAGCACAGAATTACATCATCCCCTGTGCCCCCATCCCCACCAGAAAACTTGCCAAGGAACTTAAAGCAAAGTACCACTTCAAGTGGCGCAGATTTCCACCGACACCAACAGATCTTCCCAGGTGGAGGATAGATACCTTGCCCTGGGCTCCATGGGGCTGCTGAAAACATTTAAAAAGCAACTCAAGCCATCTTTGGGATACCTGGTCATCCAGTTTATGGAATTCTGAGACACTCAGGCAAGCTCATCACTGCAGGGGAAGCACTTCTCTCCCCAAGTCATGTGTGCTGTTGGCTTTTTATAAGCAGTGAACCATTCTAGGTCCACCAGGGTTCATGGAAAGGAAGAAGGCAGCAAAACCAAGTGCTAAAGCTGGGCAGAAGCATGCTCTCAACATTGCCACCAAATTTTCCAGAGGCCCCAGTGTGTGTGTGTGTGTGTGTGTGTGTGTGTGTGTGTGTGTGAGAGAGAGAGAGAGAGAGAGAGAGAGAGAGGGAGAGAGAGAGAGAGAGAGATGTGAACTGGAACAGAAGAGATGGCAAGTCAGGGTTAGCTGGTCCTCTGTGTCGATTGTTGGTTTGGCCTAACTAAAGCCATCACAAAGGTACTTCATGTAATTTCTGGGTGTTTTAATGTTTTAACAGAAGGAAATCTGGCAAAAAGTCTTCTTAAATTCATTGAAACATCAAACAAAACATTTGAGATTGGTAAGAACAGAGGTAACTTTTAAATGCTTTTAATTAGTTTCTTAACTCTAATTTTGGGACTGGGTTGGGAGATTAGCTTGGGACATAAGGATCAGGGCATTACAGAGCTATCTGTGTTAAATAGAGGCAAAAATACTCGAAGTTTTCAATAGTCTTCAAGGATCTAGGATTGATGGAAATGCAAAGGAAAAGCTAGAAGATGAAGAGAGGGCTTTTAAGATGTTGATTTCCTATAAAACAACTTCAGAGTTTAATTATTCTTTAAAATGTTATTATGGAAAAATTTAAACATGTAAAATAAACATCACAATACACCCCTCCCCCACTGTATTCTTCACTCAGCTTTAACAATTACCAACACATAGCCAATCTTATTTCATCTCAACCTCCACTAATTTACTTCCCCCGCTCCCCATATTGTTTTGAAGCAAACCTCTAAGGTAAAATCCTTTAGGGATGAACTTTATTCTACCTGGACTGGAGACACAAAAGGTTAAGAATAAGAAGAAACTCAGAGACCACCTATTTTGGTGGTTCTGTTAGTCTCCCCACGCCCCTGCGCCAGATCCATTGGTCAGCATTCTCTGTAGTGCTGTGCTGGAATTGTGCGCATTAGGTTTGCATCCCCAGGCTCACTTCTCTCATCTGCAAAGGATATTTCCCATTGGCATCCTGTTAATTTCAGGCAAAGGGAAACACCTGCGGGAGATCTGAGGGTGCGAGGAGAGATTGAGATATTTATTCCAGCCAGAGCCACAACTCTGCTTCCTCCTTCCAGGGTTCTGGAGTGACTGTGTCCCCTCTAGCTCCAGTTTCTATAAGGTATCTCCTCTCCCATGGTTGCAGCTTTGGCTTCAGGCCTGCGGTGTTAAAGCTGCCCCACTATTGCTTTTCTGTATGCTTCACCATCCCTTAACTTTGAGTCACCTATAAGAATTCATGAGCCTTGCACCTAACTCAGAGCTGGGCATGAACCAAGTGCTCAAGACTCTTGAATGGACTTGATTCTACTTAAGGACATAGTTTAGAAAATACTTTGCTGCCCTTTCAAGAACAAGTAAGTCCACATCATCTTTCAATGTAGTTTTTTTCTTCTCATCTTCTCAAAACTCCTTCCAGTAAAATGCGGATAAGAAAAGAAGTTGGGTAGTTCATTGCCATGATACGATGCCCTTTCTTGGACATATTTGCAAGTAGTTAACATCAAGGAAGAGAGGTGGGGAAAGACATGGAGTACTCAGGGAGATGAGAAGAAAATTGTTCCTTAGGAAGACATCCTGGTTCAAGGTCCAAACACATCATTTTTCTTTCTTCAAAATCTAAAGCTTGGGCTGCTTAAATAAGTTAAGCCAGCTAAATGGTCCAGGAGGTGTATATCTGATCTTGTACCAATGGGCTTAGATTTTGTTAAATGGCCATTTATGATAGTAGAATTTTTTTCTTACTCTGGTGCGCCCAAGGGAATGATGACTTCTGGATGATGTAGCTGCTTTATTAAACAAATGCTAAAAAGTTCTCTTAGTTCAAAGATGTCCAAACATGTAATGGAATTTGATTATTGATATGGTGAGGAATTAGAGGAGAAACAGGACCCATTTTCAGAAAGCTGTCTGTATCTAATAGTATGCCCTGAAACTGCTTTAAAGCAAATTCAATATTTAGAGGTATAGATATCTCAGAGACACTTGGAAAATGTTATCACAGTTAACATTGAGAATTCTTAAGGTTTCTTTTGCATCTCCCTCTCTCCCTTCCTCTATCCAGCCCTCCTTTATTCCCTCCCTTCCTCTGTCCCTACGTCTTTCCCTCTCTTCTTCTCTTTTTGAGGGAGCCATTGGGAAAGCCAAGCCCATGCTATTGATTACACACTATATAGTGTTCAATAAAACCCACATTTATTGAATTATGACTATATGTTGATCACTGTAGGGGAACAAAGAGACAAATACACCACAATTCCTGCTCAGGATATTGCAGTCCTGAGGAAGAATTAGATGAAAGCATTGTTGTGTAAGGCAGAGGGAATGTCCATCTTAGAGATTCACCTGCCACTGAAGAAGCCTCATCATTCTGGTCTTGGGAGAAACTCGGCTTCCCATGCATTAAGCAGAGCAGTGATGAGGCCGTTCAAACACCCAGTCAATCAACAACTGCTAAGTGCTAGAATCAGAGGAGCGTTGACTAAAATACAACAAGATCCCAACTATTTTCATTAATAGAAATTTTTAGTGTATTAGCAGAAATGCCCATCCCATTTAGATACTTGCTATTTCCGCATCCATTCAGCTATCAGACATTTTTTATTTTTTATTTTTTTTAAAGCAGGCAGTCCCACTCAACATTATTACTTTTATTTATTTTAATATCTTTTTTTATTTCAGAGAGTAAGGGAGAGGGAGAGAGATAGAAACATCAATGATGAGAGGGAATCATTGATTGGCTACCTCCTGCATGCCCCCACTGGGGATCAAGCCAGCAACTCAGGCATGTGCCCTTGACCAGAATTGAACCCGGGACCCTCCAGTCCACAGGGTGGCGCTCTATCCACTGAGCCAAACCAGCTAGGGCTATCAGACATTTATTGAGTACCTACCATTTTCTGAGCATTGTGATAGGTAATAGAGATATAAAGATGAGTATTCCAAGGGGTGTGCAGTCTAACGAAGGGATCACTTTGTAAATGAATGCCTTAAAAATGTCATAGTTGCTATTATGGAAGTTTAGGTAGAACATAAAAAGGAAGAAGTTAATGCCTTCATAGCCCAGCTAGCGTGGCTCAGTGGTTGAGAGTCAACTATAAATCAGGAAGTCATAGTTTGATTCCTGGTCAGGATATATGCTCGGGTTGCAAGCTCAATCCCCAGTGTGGAGCATGCAGGAGGCAGCTGACCAATGATTCTCATCATTAATGTTTCTATCTGTCTCCCCTTCTCCCTTCCTCTCTGAAATAAATAAAAATATATTTTAAAAAATGCCTTCATAGAAAAGTTTAACCTTGAAGTGATTCTAGAAATTTGATTAAATATTTGCTCAGCAATGGGGATGATGGTTGAGGGGTGGGTGTGCAGAAAGGGATGAGATTCCAGGCCTCAGTCTCCACCATCTTCATTGATGAGAAAACCGCTCTAGTGTCCAGGGGACTGATTTTTGTAGTGGTTACTGGGCATCCTGGGGAGAAGAGGCTACAGAGGTGGCCTGTGGTCATACCATGGAGGGTTACTGTGTCATGGGAAGGAGTTTGATTCTTTCTCCTGCAGGCCCCACATGTGCCTCTAAGGTGGTAAGCACCTTCTCCATCCAACTTGCAACCCATAAGCTCTCAATCAACCATAGGAGATACTGAGAGGCTACTCACCTTGTAACGGGACAGTCAAGGCAGTTTTCCTGGGTCGGCCCCCAGCACTTGGCACATGAGGCTTCACAGATCTGGCAGTGGCCATGCTCATCAACGTATTCTCCTGGGGAACAAAATGCAGTTGTTTACCTCATTTCTACATGGCAGTTGTTTCCTGGGCTGTCAGTCTGAGAGCAGCCAGATCTGTCTGTGGCTGCCTGAAAGCCATGGAGACAACCCAGAGAGAAGAGACCTTGAATGGCTTCAGTTGCCAGTCCTAAATCCTGACCTTATAATAACAACTGCTCCTCTCCCAGAGGCCCTGAAAGTTGGAACCTGAAAAAGTTATGAGGCAATGACATAATTTTGAATCTAGTCAAAATGTGTTACAAATTTTATAAGTAGAGAGAAGTCAAGGGGGCTTCCGACAGGATCCCTTCACTGAGCTCCTACTGACTTCCCTGTGTAAGGCTGAAGGCTTATGGGCCACAGAGACCCCAGTATAGCTTTGGTTCAAGTCAAGAAGCAAACTGGACCCACCTAGGTCCTGTCTCATCACTCTGGGAAGGATTGTGATTACTTGTCAAGAAAGGGAGTTGAAGCTTGGCTGACATTGGACAGATGTCAGCTGCATCTCACCCTGAAAGAGTAACAGTGAAGAGATAGCCAGAGAATTCTTCATTTAATTGGAAAGCTTATCCTTCCCAAGGAAAAACACAACATGGCCTTTCCACAGAAGCAAGTCCAGCCTCACCAACTTCTTGTAAACATTTAAGAAATTATTCCCACAGCAATGGCGGTAGAGAGAGGTGAACCCTCATTGAAGGTGATAATCCAGTGATAGGTCTGTGGCTCATTGGATTCAACCCTCTACTCACACTACACTCATTCTCTGCTCCCATTGTCTTACAAGAAATTGACTGAAAAGAAACTGAAATTCTTTTACTCTGATCCAGAGACCCACTTTGTATGGTTTAGAAAGAGATCATGCTTAGAAACTTCAGATTTCAGCAGAGTCACAACCTTCACTTGCCTCCCACACCAACTTTCATAGCCCTGTAAGCATGTCTGAACATTGTCAATCTGAGATCAGACAGAGCAGTGAGGTAGCAGGACTCACCAATGGTTTATTTATTTATTAATTAAAATTTTTATTTATTAAATTGGGGTGACGTTGGTCAATATAAACATATAGATTTCATGTGTGAGTTTCTGTGTTACAAGATCTGTATATTGCACCATGTCCCCACCACTCAAAGTCAAATCTTTCCCTGCTACCTTATTTTAGGGCCCCCTTCTTCCTCTACCCTCTTCTCTATGGCAACCACCACACTGCTGTTTGTGTTCATAAGTTTCAGTTTTATATCTCACATATGAGTGAAATCATATGGTTCTTAGCTTTTTCTGTCTGACTTATTTTACTGAGCATAATGTTCTCAAGGTCCGTCCATGTTGTTGCAATTGGTGCTATTTTGTCATTTCTTATGGCTGAGGAGTATTCTATTGTGTATATGTACCACATATCTATCGTTTAATCAAGTGGTGTTATTGGAACTCCAAGATTCGCTCCCTGATTTATTTTAACTGTATGGGAAAAAAAAAACAAGCCCTGGAAACATAGATGACTGGTTACGAATAGAGGGAAGTCTACTTCTCTGCCTTTCCCCGTAATTTTACTGAATTAGTACAGTTGGGTAAGGTAAACTTATATCTATAAGTCGTCTACTTGCTGGCACTAAACTACAAAAATGAGTGAGATTTAGAGTGAGTCACCAGTGGGGTCAAAACATGCAAATAGGCAAGTTGTTCACTGCACAAGGTACCTGCCTAAATGGTCACGTGGAGTTGGAAATCCATCCCATGTTGATTGCACCAAGCCATGAAAATGTGTTGGCTGCCTCTTTCTCTAAAGGGGGTGCCTTTCACTAATTCACACAAAGATGTCAGAACAGATCAGTTGGTAATCAGTCCCAAAGCAGAAAAAGAACCTGGACTTCTGTCTAATAGGAGTGTTGATATCAATATAGGTATCATCTTCTACCTATTCTACCTCTTAATTATTGCCCTTGTGCAACCTCTTCTACTTTTGTCAGAAAGCACAACAAATTCAACAGTATTATTATCAATCCAGGCACCAGCAAGATAAAGAGCAGAGAATCTGGGGCAGACTTCGTAGGAGCAAGTAGATCTTGCCTACATTGCCAATGCTAATAATTTGTGTTGGATGATAGCTATGTATCTTTGAAAATATATGTACTGAGTGGAACAGGTATGGGGAAGGGTCACAGAGGCTTCTAAAGCCAAAGAAAATGTTTTCTAGAGAAATATAGATCATAGCTTGTTCATTCATTTTTTCATTCCATGTATATTTTTTGAACACTTATGTACCAGGCACTAGGTAAAATTTAGAGATATACAAATTAAAAAGACCCTGCTCTTGGGTTCTCAAAGGTATTTTATAAGAATGATTTGTTCCCTAGCTGGTTTGGCTCAGTGGATAGAGCATCAGCCTGCAAACTAAAGGGTCCTGGATTTGATTTCAGTCAAGGACACATCCCCGGGTTGTGAGCTCAATTCCCAGTAGGGGGCATGCAGGAGGCAGCCGATCGGTGATTTTCTCTCAATGTTTCTCTCTCTGAAATCAATAAAAATATATTTTTTAAAAATAATGATTTTTAAGGAGATAATTATAATCTAAATGCTGGCTAGGAGACTTCGCCTTCCTTGGACAGTCTAAAATAGAAGAGCAAGGGCATACACTGGACTCTCCTAGACTTAGAGGCAAAGACTGTTATTTTACCTTGACATTGGTGCCTATAAAATCGGACACAGTGGTTTGGTTGTCCTAAATCTCGCCACCCATCCACCTTAATCTTCACGGTGTATTAGAACCAATGCTAGGGTGGGATTTTAAAGTAAATACACCTTGCTCTGCTAAATCAAGTGCTTCTTAGATGGTTCTGAGAGTTATGTCATATTTACACCCAAAGCCGCCTCTGTAGTTAGATGAATCATGGCTAGGTCAAGCAAGGGTTATTGGGATTTTACTGTGGAAATTTTCAATTCCCCTATGTCTTTTGTTTTTCTCTTCCTTAAGTTCCATAAGCCAGTATGTGGCACTGATACCCTGGCCTCATGTTTTCTTGATCTGCTCAACTATCATGGCCTCTGTTGGCACTCACATAGATATAATCACCTGAGATATAATCATCTCTTGGAATTGCCCCAACTCTGAGATTTCAAATACCCCCTCCAAACACAACCTTCTTATGCCCCACTATGCTAAGCTTACCCTTTTTGATCATCCTTTCATTCATCTTTGTATTTTCCTCTTGCATTTCTCACTGTAGTTGGTTCAAAGCTTTTCAAGACTCGGGTTCCACCCATTCTTTCTCAGAAGGTGACCTCACTATCTAATTTGTTGATAAGATACTGAGTTTCCCCAGCATCCTTTGTCTCAGTGTCAAAGTTCCTTTCTATCTTCTCCTTGACTGTTCATTTGTCTCCTGTTTCTGAGGAAGATGTCTCTCCTCCTGGCCATTGGCAACCCTCAATCTAGTGCTCATAATCTTTCCTTGGGATATTTCTCCACCAGGATCTCTGTCTTCAATCTTTTCCTCCACATTTGCCATTATCCTCTGACCTACAAAAAGTTCTCCTCAACCTAAAACCTTCCCAAGCATTTTTCTTCTTGGGTAAGTGATCCTTAAAAGATGTTTTTGCCTCCTACCATTTGGAAACAAAATGGAGACAACCTCATAACCTTGAAGCTTATGTAAGCAAGTCAGCGTAGGACAGCTTGAACCACACCTCTCTCAAGTCTGCATGCCTCTTAACTTTAGAGCAAACTCTGGCTTTATAACAGATGAGAATAAAAGGACCTGTCTGATTTTCATATTTATGTGGATGTCCAATTAGTTATATAAACAACTGCCCCCAGCCCTTGCAGGCACAAGTGTCCTACTGCACATTTGAAACAAACAAAAAAGCCAGATTCCAAGGACATAGTGAAGATGCCTTTTTTTTGGTTGTTGGAGCAGCAAATTCTTTTCATCTGTCTTGGTTGCACAATGAAGCTCAATGTTTATGACAGGAATGATATACAAAATTTTTTTAAAGTCATAGCACAGACGTCGTGGTCCAATATTTTGTTCTCCATCTCATCCTACAAGCTCTCCTTTCTAGTGTCTTCATCCATTATTATTATGTCCAAGTTATCTTTCTCCTGTGATCAAAAGTGTTTCCTCTTTTAGTTTCTGTTTCATCTCATCCTATAATAGTTCAAAAAACATTGAAGTAGTGTCTCATGAGCAATGCTATCTCAAATGTTGAAGACACAACTTAAAAAATTAATAGTTGTAAATTAAAAAATTTACAAGTTAGTGGTATACTCTGCTTGATCCACCTCCTGAGAACATTACAGCATGTGTTTGTGTTAATGAGTCTAAGTTACAAATAAACTTTACAAAATCACCCAGATTAATCAAGCATTTATTATATCATGCACAGCTACTAAACAAAGTTGAGAATAACATAACATAATAAAGAGCTCACCTACCCAGAAGGGCTTCATTTCTCTTCAGAAATGCTATGCTTTCTTTTGTATCTCATAATATTTATTTGAGTCAAATTTATTGTAGAGTTTAAGCAAATAAATATATAAACTAAATAAATCAATAAACACTTAGGTTAGTATATTATGATGTGAATCTAAAACACTGTTTTTAGCAAGGGTGATTGGTAATAGAAGATGGGAGGAACATTTGAAGAGAAATTAGTCATTTGGATTTTTTTTAAGAGAGAGAGAGAGAGATAAAGAAAACATTGATCGTCTGCCTCCCTCACTTGCCCTACTGGGAAATGAGCCCACAACCCCAGGCATGTACTCTGACTGGAATCAAACCATGACTGCCTGGTTCATAGGTGGATGCTCACTGGCAAACATGAAGCTTTATACAAAAAGGCCATCCATTGATGGCTAACATCTTTACTTAAAAGCCTATACCAGTGATTTTTCAACCTTTTTCATCTCATGGCACAGATAAATTAATTACTAAAATTCTCCAGCATACCAAAAAATGTATTTTTTGCTGTTCTGACAACAAAAAAGGTATAATTTTGATT